ACGTCCAAAAATTCCATTCAAGACTCCGAAATTTTTAGTTAGATTAATAATGCAATGTTGGGATGCGAGGCCATCTTGTCGACCCGATGCTAGAAAATTATGTGGGACAATAGAAAAATGGATTATTGATGATAATTTTAAGGAACAAGTTAAAGATTACGAAAGTGAAGTTTCAGGAAAATCGCCAAATAATAACTTCTCGGGACTTAATTACAAAACACACCCAAATGCCGTTTATACTAGTAGACTTTTGAACTTTTCAAATTTATCACAACCAACAAATTCCCCTAATTATGAGAAAGTACTCGAAATGTTATCGGATGACAATGCAGGTGATTATACTTTAGATGTATAACTTTTGTTACTTCTGAATTTTTATTTACAAATTTTACTTTAAGACTTTTTAGACTCAAGTATAGTTGACCTGGATAATTCGGATTTTTAGGTATTTCCAAAATGAATTATTTTTAATCGTAATCTAACTTATCTAATTATTAATCGCAATACAAATAATTTAGAAAATTCTGAAAATGTTAACTATAACAAAGATACAAACCCGTTTTCACGGCAGTCAAAACTCCCAGCACCATGATATTTGATAACAGATAGATTATTTTTAGTGATTCAAATCTTAAATAAAAGATAATTTTTTTATAAGTTATATTTAATGAATATTATTATTGGGTTCTAATTTTTCGTTATTTTTACCATCTTCTAGTATTTTATTAATTATTCAAAATATAACAAAACTCACGACATTTTAAATAATTATTGAATATGTAAAACAAAGTATCAAGCTAAATTACGGAAGTTATATAATTCAAAAAAAGATTTTTCAAAGTTCAAATTTAACTTTAAAAAAAGTCTTATTTCTACGTATGAGATATAAACAATAACTTTTAAAATTGCATTGAATTTAAAGAATTTATAAAAAAAACCGCGAACATCGGTAATTTACATCAATTAACAAAATATTTTATTTAGGGATGTTAAACGGTTATGAATACTGTAATCAGTTCGGTTTCTAACCTGACCTTATCAGTTAAACTGGCGTGCCAAATAGTGTAAATTATTTAAATACTATATAGTATACCATACCATAAAGTATAAGCTGGAAAGGAAAATATGATAAGAACTTTAGTGACAGTTAACAGATATATACTTTTTGAATAGATCATACCTGATATATTAATTCATCTTTTGGATATAAATTAATATAATTAAGTTAGAAAAAGAGATAGTACTAAGGTTATAATAGCTAGAACAGTTAATCAGACATTTAATAACTTTCATAATAAGTTAATAAAAAGTTCACATATAATATGTTTTGTTTTTAAAAAAATAAAATAATAATAATAATAAAATTTAAAATTTTTTTTAGTTTATAACTTTTTTAAAAATATTTAAAATAAAATTAAAAAAAAATATTTCTATTGTTATAAAAAAATAATAATTGATGATATTACTTAAAATTTGTAAAATATTGATTATATATTTGTTAAGTAAAACCATATTAAAAGCGTTTTGATTTGATTTATATTTTTAACAACAATTACAGATTGTAAGCGTATATTTTTCATCAATATTTGTCGAGGAATTCATATCAAGGACGTTTAATTGATTAAGGCATATTCTTTGCTTTAACAACGATTACAGACGGCAAGCATATTTTTTGTTAACATTTTTTTTAGTAAATTCACATCAAGGATGTTTTAATTAATTCAAAGTGTTTCCTTTACTTTAACAACAATTAGTCTGTAAGTACTGTATATTTGCATTAAATTTACTGTGATAAAATTTAATTACTGTAAATTATGTTTAAATTGATCCAAGTTAAAACTCATTGCCTTTAGGGAGTAAGCACATTCTCATTAAGTAAATTTATATTAAAGGTGTTTTAAATGATCTTGAGTTATTTTTAACTTTAACAACTATTACAGATGGTGAGCATATTTCATTAACATCTGTTAATTAATTTATATAAATATATTTTGGTTGATTTGAATTTCGTATATTCCTTATTTTAACAACGATTATAGACAGTAAACATACTTTTTATTAACATTTTTTGAGCATATCAAAGGTTTTTTGATTGATATAAGCTATATTATTTAAAAATGGTTATAGAAGGTAAGCATATTTATTATTAATATCTGTTAAGTAAATTGCATTATAGGTGTTTTAATAGATTTGTATTATATTCTTTGCTTTGACAATGCTTGCAGACGGTAATAATTTTTTTATTAAAATCTATAACATTAAAATGGTTTAATTGATCTGAGTTATATTTACTCCAACAAAAATAACAGTCGGTAAGTATATTAAAGTAAATTTACATAAATGATATTTTAATTGACTTGATATTTGTTACATACTTTACTTTTAGAAGGTAAGCTTATTTTCTTTAATATTTGTTGAAAAAAAATTTACTTCAGAGGTTTTTTTTTATTGATCTGAGATGTATTTTTTACTTTAACAATTTTTAGAATGCAAGCATATTTTCTTTTGTATTTATTAGCAATAAAAGTGTTTTTAATTGTTTTGAGATATATTTTTTACATTTCGACAATTACAGACTGTAAGAATATTCTCATTAATATTTGTTTAATAATTCATATCATAAAGGGTTTAATTGATTTTAGTTATAATCTTTACTTTAGGGGGTATGCATATTTCATTAATATTCATTATATAAATTTATTTCAAAGTTCTTTGATTCATCCGAGTTACTGTATATTCTTAATAATCATTACAGACGGTAAGCATATTTTCACTAATAATTCACGCCAAATATGCTTTGGTTAATCTAGAATATGTTCTTTACTCTAATAACGATTATAGATAGTGAGTATATTTTCATTGATATTTGCTGACAATAATTCATATCAAAGATGTTTTAATTGATCTTGATTTTATTCTTACTTTTAGAGTGTAAGCATATTTTCATTAATATTTTTTGAGTAAATTCCTATTAAAAATGTTCAAGTTGGCATGGTTATATTAATATTTAGGGAGTAAGTATACTTTCATTAATACAGTATTTGTTAAGTAAATTCATATAAAAGGCGATTTAATTGATGAGTTATGGTTCTTGCTTTAGAATGTAAGCATATTTTCATTTGATATTTTTGAGTAATTAATATCAATGTGTTTTAATCAATCTGAGTTTTATTTACTTAATGGTGATTAATTACAGCTGGTAAGAATATTTTTATTGATGTTTGTTAGTAAACTTACATTAAGGAGCTTTAATTGATTTGAACTAACTTTTCTTTGACAACAGACGGTAAGCATAATTTCATTATTATTTATTGAGTAAATTTATATTAAATGTGCTCAATTATTTTCTTTATTTAACAACAATTACAGACGGTATGCATGATATTATTAATATTCTTTGATTAAATTCATATCAGGATGTTTTAATTGATCCGAGCTATATTTATTGATTGTAGGAGGTAAGCACATTTTATTAAAATTTGTTAAGTAAATTCGTATCAAAAAGCGTTAAATCTTTCATCATAATAACGATCATAGAATGTAAGCATATTTTCATCAATATTTATTAAGTAAATACTTATTGAAGGTATTTAATTGATCGGCTATATTCTTTGCATTATAAATTATTAGACTGTATGAATATTTTTATTTACGAATGCATATCAAAGGTGTTTTAATTGATCTCACCATACTGTTCTCCCATTTTTAGGGGGTAGGCAATTTCATTAATACTGTATTCATTTGAGTAAATTCACATCAAATGTATTTTAATTGATCTAAGTTACATTCTTACTTTAAAAACAATTACAGGCGGTGAGCATATTTTCATTAATGTTGTTGAGTAAAGTCATATGCAGTATAAAGTGTTTTTATTAATGTGAAATACGTATATTCGTTAAAGATGACTACTGTACAGACAGTAAGCATATTTTATTGATATTTGTCAAATTTTCAGTATATCGAAGATGTTTTAATTATCCGAGTTATATTCTTTACTTTAATGATGATTACAGATTGTAGATATATTTTCATTTATATTACGTATTGAGACAATTCATATAAAGGTGCTATAGTTAATCTAATTTATATTCGAATAATTACATAGCTATATGCAACCAATGTAAAAAAGAAACCAAAGAGAGTTTATGGTGTCATTCCTGCAATTTTTCTCGTTTTGAAGAAGAATTTGGGAAATGGTCAAGTGGCAGCAAAATTGTCGATGAATTCATACGAAATGTGCAGTTAGAATCAACAAGTAGATATAAAGTACTTGAATGGATTCCATATGAGAAATTTAAAGTTGATCCAGAACCAATTGGTGAAGGTGGTTTTGCAAAGGTTTATTTGGCTGAATGGGAAGGATATATTGAATTTTGGAGCAAATACGGTCGGTGGAAAAGATCCGGGAAAATAAAAGTTGCATTAAAATGTTTAAATAACTCCCGAGAGATATCTAAGAAATATCTGGAAGAGGTAATAATTATACATATTTTTAATGAAAATAATTTTAACACCTTTCATGTCACGCTATAGAGCAAAGTGTTGATTTGATTAATACATTAATTTTGTAAATTACTTTATTAATAGCAAGCTTAACTTTATATTGTATATAGATAAAAAACCACCATAAATTAAACTGCAAGAGCAATCAAATTACCCGATTCTATGGAATCACTAAAGATGAGTCGAATTTTATAATTGTTATGAAATATATTGATCACACGAGGGCTAGTCACGAAACGGCGTGGAATAATAAATTTACTCGTTTATTTTATACTGCACTTGGATTGTACAAAATTCACGAATCTGAATTGGTTCACGGAGATTTTTACCCTGGCAATATCCTTTTTTCCAATGCGAGTAAAGCGGTTTATATAACAGATTTAGGATTATGCAGGCCAGCTAATTCTAAAGAGGATAATGGGGTTCTTCCTTATGTAGCGCCCGAATTTTTGCGTGATAAGATACACACAAAGGCGGTAGACATTTATTCGTTCGGGATGGTTATGTACGAAGTATTTTCTGGCGTTTCTCCTTTCAAAGATGTTGATTGTGATAATGATAATGAAAGCCAATCCCTTGCGATAAGAGTATGTAACGGGGAGCGACCAGAAATTCAAGGTCTGCCTCCCTTAATAGTTGAATTGATAAAAAAATGTTGGGATTCTGATCCAACAAAACGACCATCTGCAGAAGACCTGTGTAAGATTTTACGTGCATGGAAAGATTTATACTCCGGTTCTGAGCTTGATATGCAAATTAATAAAAATGTGATGAATCGGGTGTTTACTTGTGCACAAAAAAAAATTAATTTATTGCGTCAACCGTCAAGCCGCATAAGCCAATCTATTAGAACAAGTGCACTTCTTAATACAAATACTCTTCTCGGTGGAACCAGAATTATTCGTGCAAGTAAACTCCTTGACTTTAAAAATCATCCACAACCCAAAAATTTAGGTACTGAAATATTGTGTTTATATATATATCAAAATTCTAATTTTTTTCATGTCTAATTCATTTTTTTAAAAAAAATAGATAGTGTCGCTAAAATTTTTTAGTTCTAGGTTAAAGGTCATACTAAATACCGATTTTTCGAGGCATACTGTATTACTATTTCAAAATAATTATTTGATTTTTTCAAAAAAAAGAAAAATTGTGTGAAAGTATAAATAGCTTTATTATATTATTAAAATCGTATCAAATTATAACTAGTTAAAATAATTAATATTTTATCATTCGTGGTTAGGTTATTTATTATTCAAGAAATTTTCTATTTCGTGTTCTCATTACCAACTGGTGTGATCAATTTATTCTGTATATTAAATAAATCTGTACAGTATATCACTTATAGATAATTTAAGATATTGCTACGCGACAATCAGGACGCGTCGCGTAATACAGTAATGAGAAATGATAGATGCATGCAATAATTTGGTAATGGCATGTAACTGGGTGGACGCGTCAACAAGGCCTATAAATAGATAGTTTTGCATAGTTTGTGCCAATTAGTTAGAGTTAGTTTTTTAGAACACCCTTCTATTTTCTCACACTTTAGTAAATAAATGCTATATTACTTCGCAGAATAACACTCCCGTCCCAAAAATAATAAACCAATGTTAGCGCCGCAGTAGAGAAGGAAACGACTTTAAGGAAGAGACCAACGTTACCTTTTGCACTGTGTAAAGTATGATACTTGTAATCTTGAGATGTGCCTAGAGGGACGATCAAAAAGTGATTAGCAAGTGCAAGAGGCTATGGCCCGCTTCAGAGCTAAGCGTTCGGATTATCATCATGCAAGAAGCCGAAGTTAGCAACAGACCCACCAGTGACGATAACAATATTTATCAATAGTTTTTTTACCAATTAATTCAATATTCTTTTACTTGAAAAGAAAACATATTATTACAGTATTTTTAATTTTTAAAAAAGTAAGAATAATGAATAATTTATAGCATAATCAATGTAAAATATTTTATTTTATTTTTACATGCTAATAAGAAACTGAAACGTTGATTATGCAACTTTATGTTTATTCATTAAATGTTTTGGTTCCAAATGGCGAGTCAGGCACTAATCCAGTCTAAGATTCATATCATCATAGGTAAGCAAAGATGTCTTTAGTGTTGCTTTGGTCAAGACTTCTCTATTTAACACACTTCTTTTCTTTTCTTGTGTTTGTAATGCCATATCACTTCTTCTTGTCTTGTGGGATCTGGATCTGGATAATCTTTTCTCTTTACATAATGCATACTGAAAAAGGATAAGTTGTTAATTATTATTTTTTAATTTAAGCACTTGTAATTTACTAATTATTTCTCTTTTATTATTTACACTAGTCCAAATTAGGTTATTTAGCTGCCAAATTACAACTGATTGAATTCAAATTTATCTAACATTTGACAAAATAATCATTCAGCAAAAAAATCATTTGGCATAAAATCATTTGGCAAAAAAATATTTCTAGTTAAAAAATATTAAACAATAAAGTTATAATATTCTGTAATAAAAATTATAGCATTCAGAATAAATTTTATTATTTAACTATAAAGTTAATAAAATCATTTAGCATTATATACTCAGTAAAATCAAATTGCATATTTTTAATAAAAAAATTATATTTATAATAATATTTAGCAAAACTTAATTAATACTTGATAAATTTATTAAAAATATAAAATATATAAAATTTGAAATAATTATTCACTTATCTTCTGTTAATTATTTACTAATTAATTATTTGATAATTGTTTACTCATTATTAACAATTTCTTGTTTATTATTAATTAAATTCTTCCTTCATTCCTTTATCTGAATTTTCCTGCTCATAATCTTCTTTTTTTTTTGCTAATTTCACCATGGTCTTTATAACTCTCAAAAATTTTATAATATCAAATTTTCTTTGCTTTGGGATGCTTTTTTGTAATTTTTGTGCTTTTTCTTTAATTTTTTTCTTTAATATTGCCCCAAATTTCATCCATTTATACACTTTCTCCAGTTGGATGCTTCTCTTTCTCTAAATATATAAGTAATTTCTTATAATCAGATATTCTTCATCTTTTATATTTTTTTACTAATTGTTTGTCTTTTTTACTTTATTCTATTTCTTGCTCTTCATCCTCTGATTTATAAGTTCAACTTAGCAAGTTTTTTGGTAAGGTTACATTGGACAATAAAATTTGTTATGGTTTCATTTACAAGTTGATTAAAATGGTTAAATTGATTTTGAATGTTTATCCAAATTTTCCAATAAATCTTTCAACTATAAAATAATTAGTAATGAATTAATTAATTAACATAAAATTATTTATTAAAAAATATCTCATCAAAATGTCAACTATAATTATATACATTTATTCTTTTCTTATCATCATTTTTTGAATCAGTTTTACTTTCTTCAGCCAAATAGACTCTTGGTTCTTTAATTATATCAATTAGTTCCTTCTGATATCTTGCAATACTCTTTTTTAGACTTTTTGTTAATAAGTGACCAAGTAGTTTTGATTCTTTATGTCCTTTTCTTTATTATTCAATAAAAATTAATACAAGTAATATAATATAAATATCAATTAATTTTATCTCATTTAATTAGCTATTTCCATATAAGTAATAATTGTCTGCATCTGGTTTTCTTGTTTATACCTTTTGATATCTTTCTCTTTAATAACAATATAAAGCACCTAACCAATTGTTCAACTGTTTTCATGATGAATTAAAATGTAAACTATTAATTTGAATAACTTGAATATTAACTTGTTTAATATTTTTTTATTTACAGTATATCACTTGAATAAATTTCATCTACTCTTAGTTAAAGTTCTTTAGGGATAGTTTTTATCAAAACTTTCATTTCAGTCCTTGCCTCTTTTTTTTTTTCATTAGAAACAGTTTCTGGAAATTTGACCATTTTTATTACTTTGACCTTTTCAATATCTTTATCCTTTTTGATACTTTTATTCTTTTCTTTAGGCTAAATTCTTCAACTATTTAATATATTTGATATATTTTTGAAATCTGAAATTATATATTCAGTTTAAACTTTAGGTGCAGATTCAGATTAGTATTCAGATTTGGATTAGTATTCAAGTTCAGATTGGTATTTAGATTCAGATTGATTTTGAGGTTTGAGTTGATTTTGAGATTTGGATGTTACATTTGTAGTTTCTACAACTACTATTAACTGTAATGCCAATTTATGTGATTTTAGTTATTCTTTTCTTAGGGATTTCCTCTATAAGTAAATATTATTTCTTTATTTAATATTTGAATATAATATAATATACATTGTGAAAGAAACAATACCTCTTTCATTATTTCAGGAAAGTTTAATGTTAGCTTACCTACTTAATATTACCCAACTAATATTGTAAAACATTTCAAAAGCAATATTATAGTGCTAGATAAAGCTGAGTAGTGATTATACCTACCAACTCAAGAAATTTAGTGAAATCTTTAGATTTTTTGAATATATAATAATTAAAAAGAAAATAAATGTAACTATAACTAAAACTGCATCAAATAAACTATAAAATCTATAAGTAGAAAATCAATTATTTCTCTAAAAAAGCTCCTAGACAATCTTGTAGTCCAATCTCTCCAGCTTTTTAGTACCATATATAATAGAGTATACTTGAAGTTGTTTGTTATTATAGTTGTTAGTAGACATGTAATTGATATTGATATTGTGATTATTGTTATAATTGTTATTATGATACAAAACTGGTTTGAACAGGTTCAGTTTTTGTTTTAATTTTTAAGTAAAATTTGATTGGATAATTGGAAGTGCTGATTATCTATAAGGATAGGCTGATTTCAATTTTTTGGCCAGGAAAAAATATTGAAAAATTTGAAATGAACAGTAAATATCATCATGGAGAAATAAAATTTGAGTTGATTTGAAACAAACAATTAATATACTAACTCTATTTGAATGTGTATTTTGAAAAGTATTTGTTTTAATAAGTATAATAATAATGATATGGATAGTTTTTATAATAAAATAAGAGTAAGGAAGGATGCAAGAGAACAAAAAAATAGAGAACCACCATGGGCCTTTTTTCATGCAACCAAAGGATAAGCAATACTCTCAAACTTGAATAAATTTTGACTAAAGGTTCCATTCCACTGTATTAGTTGTCTTGAAAATTCTTGAGTTTCTGAGCTGGTGCTCACTTGTGATAAAAAAAGTAAACATTTTTTTTTGCTTAAAATTATTATAAAAAGACAATTTTTAACAAAACAGATATAATCAAGAAAGAGTTTTTTTATTTATTGTGGTTTTAGTTATTCATTTCTCTTTTTTAAATATTTAATATACTTTTTTTGCTAATTTGATTCATTAGAAAATATTTTATTTATATATTTCACTATAACTAATTTTGTCTCCAAGTTAGTATTTGCTTTTTTAAATTTATTCACTTTCATATATAACCGTTTTTTTTTTGTTAAGTGAGGCATTTCTTATAATTTTTATTAATAGAGTAGTTAAAATATTACATAATTAATATTAAGATACTAAGATATATCATTATATATGTCGGCCTACCACCGTTCTAAGTATATTTCTGATAAAAAATCTTGAGGCAAGGAAAAGAGAAAGTAACTACTTAGTTTTGGGGGCTAATGCCTCCCTAATAATTTATTTTATCCTGTATGGGCATGGATAAGTTTTGAAAATATAATTGAAGAATGATATTAGTTAGTTTGTCATTTTAATTTGTGTTATTGGTTGTTGGATTGTTTGAAATTGGTTGTTGTTATTGTTGGGATTGGTGTTTTTTGTTATTTTGTGTGTTTTGAGATCTATTGTTATTGTTATTGTTAGTGTTGTTATTATTGTTGTT